CAGTGAGACATAATAAAACAGATTATCACACACACACACACACACATACACACACACACGCACACAAGCAGACTTTGGACATTGGATACATATTAATTGAGTGTTCACTTGCATTATGGGCAACCATATTTTCAGTCACACTCCACTCATATGCTCATGCATGCACAGATGTGGGTTTGGTTTGTTTCATTTTCAGAAGTGTGTAGGAAGTGACTGGAGATACTGACTCGTAGGAAAATTATTTCAGGAGTGAACCATCGCAGAATCTACCACGGTAAAGTGAATCTTTTAACCATTTCTTGTAGAAATCTTCTTTAGTCTTTAGATGAGTTGACACATATAGTGGTTGTTATTTTCCCTAAATCATGCATTTAGTTTGTCGTGTAAGATTCAATTTCTTCAAGTCCTTGAACTATTTCTGTTTTGTTCATGGCGTTTATTTATATTGTGTTTTTTTACGGGTTCAGGAGCTCTGGTGTAAATTGTTTATTTGTTACTGTTATTACCTAATTTTTCCAATTTGTGATAATTTAAAAGCTGAATAATGAACTATAAAAGAGGGGGAAGAAATCAATTTACAATGAAGTAAAAACAATCAGATTTTTTGTTGTTGATATGATGCAATTTGATGTAGAGAGTAGTGCTCCAGTGTGTCATGTCACAACCTCAATAAGCCATGCCCATAAGATATTCTGTCAGGCTTAATGGACACTGGTGTTTGTGATATTTATACATTACATATGGTTCTGGAAATACTTGGAAATGAACACAAATATTGTAGAATTTTGGAATTCTTAAATAGACCAAATTTTCCTTTAGATCAGAAAGATAAATGTAATCACTTTATGTGACGCTCATCTCCAGATTGCCAGTTTTGAGTTATTTTTAACTTAACCTTTCTATAAGATTGTATGCTGTGTGTTTTGTTGTACTTCAGATTGTACTTTTTATGAAGAAGGAAGGGCCGGCAAACTTATACTCATCACTCATAACTTCCATGGAAACGTACATTCTGGCTGAGATTGACATTAACTTATTAAACATCAGTAGCCCAATCCAGCTAAATTTGACCACTTGACAGTTGATATTGCAAAAGCAGAACCCATGCACTCCAATCTTATTAGTAGTAAGGTTTATTGAAAGGTGAGGCCAAACAAATAAGTCACTGTGGTCCTTTTTGGACAGGTTAGTGCAGCTTATATACAGTGCAGATCAGCTTCAGAAAATTCAGAAAAACAACCAAATAAATTAGTTAATATCAGTGATTTATACTCAATGGATATTATGAGTTAACTTTTCTTAATATGTTACAAAAAGAAAATGTCGACATGTACTTCTCAAAATCAGCATGTTTTCCCAAAACACATCCCATTCCTACTCCAACAAATATCACACTTGGTGTATTGCCGCAGAAACTTTACCATAATAGAAAAATAGGCTGGATATGGTTTGGAAGTTCTTGGGTACAAAACCATTGGTTGGTTAAATGAAGTTAACAAGCACAATGATTAAATAAAGATATTAAACAATGATATCTGTGCTTATTACCAAACAGTATTCGGTAATTATTACCTGCTGGCAAGATGGTATAAAAGTGACTGAGGTAGACAAAGTGCTGTATGTGCGACGCGTGTATGTTACTCATATTAGAGTTTACAGGGCATCCCCATGACAAAGCTTAACTTTTAACTGGTACTGTATGTTGGCTGTCCTATCAAGAACCTCCCACTGATATATGTTAATGCCTCCCTGCTGCAGAGCCATGTGGGCTGTCCTGGTCTTGCTGCTAGCCCTCTCCAGTGGCGCTCTGTCTCTGGACAAACTCAACATGTGTATGGACGCCAAACACCACAAAGTAAATCCTGGCCCTGAGGGACAACTCTACCTTCAGGTGATGAATACAAATGTTTCTACACAGCAAAGATGAAACAAATGGCGGGATGCTGGGAGAATCAAATGGGTGTCATGTTTTTTTTTCATGGAAAGTTTGTGTTGATCCAGACACAGGGCTGAAAAAGAATATGTTTTGGTCCAACACCATTAAGTGACCCCTCTCTCTTCTTCCCAGTGTGCTCCGTGGCGTGACAATGCATGTTGTACAGCCAACACCAGCGCAGAAGCCCACGACGATAACTCCTACCTGTACAACTTCAACTGGAATCACTGTGGTGCCATGAGCCCTGAGTGCAAGAGACATTTCATCCAGGACACTTGCTTCTACGAGTGCTCACCACACTTGGGACCTTGGATACAAAAAGTGTGTATTGTGCATTTGTGCTCTCGGTCTCTCTTGTATGTGTCTACTTGCAACACTAGATGGCAGCATATAAAGTTGAAAGGACTGAAAGGGCTTGTCGGGATAGTTAAATCAACATATACAGCCTGTCGCCATTATTATGCCTTTATAGCAGTGGTTCCCTGGTGGTCGGGACCAGCCTTTAATTCAGCATTTCATTAATTTCTGTGAAGACAACCACATTATTATTATCATCATTATTTTAAGTTTAGATCAGTTGTTCTTTACTGTTATTGTTATGCATTGAATATAATATGAAATATCCATAACATATGTCACTTAGTTAGTTTTCTGAATAATAGAAAAAGGGTCCCTTAAAAAAAAAGATTCACTGCATTATAGTTATAAAAACATAACCAGCTAATTACATTTGATAAAGAGAGACTTTGTAATATGCCCCAGTTTTGTTTGTAGAGACCTTTATAACCCACTTGACAGATCGCAACATTGTACAAGGAGTTTCCTTCTATAAATATATCAACGGTGTTCTGAACTTATTATTATTTATATCATACAAACTAGTCAATCGTGTGTGCAGGTGGATCAGAGCTGGCGTAAGGAGCGTATCTTGGATGTGCCTCTGTGTAAGGAGGACTGCCACAGTTGGTGGGAAGACTGCAAGAATGATTACACCTGCAAGACTAATTGGCACAAAGGATGGGACTGGAGCTCAGGTAAGTACAAACACA